TTGTGGTTTGTTTAGGGGCAGTTATGGAAAACAGGTGCACAAGTCTTACATTGAGCCAGACAAATCCCTAAGTCTCCAGAGAAGAAACAGAACAGTTTTTTTAAAAAAAAATTCCCTTTCATTGGTCGGAGTTTACTTTCCTACATCTTGAGACTTAAAAACGGGTGAGGGTATTCCCAGAGAGTCTAACTCAGGGTTTTTTCAACTTTGACAGCATTAAGATGGGTGGACTTCACACATGTTAAGGTTGCCAAGGTTGAAGAACCCTGGTCTAACTGAATAAGCTGTCATTCCAAAGAGAACAGCATTTTCCAAGAATTGACCTAAGTGGTGTTTGGTCGATGTCAGGATTTGGCTGAGTCAAAAGTGTGGAGGAGAACCATCTTAGCCGATTACAACTTCTCATGAAACGTCCCATTGCTTGCTTGTTGGACATGACTTTGCTTTTTTTATTTTGTTGGAAAGATGCGATTCTGCCCAGGATTATTTTCAAGCCGGCCACCCCTGGGCTCTGACCACAGATTCCGAAGTCAAATATGCTATGATAAGGAGATCCATTGAGATCCTCAAAAATGTTTGCAAGGATGAACGTTTTAGTCTTTAAGGAGCCACAATCTCTGTTGGTCAAGTCAGCTCCTTTGATCAGAGTAACTTCTATTTCTACAAGACAACCCACACATTTTTTCTTTCTTAAGGACTCCAATTAATTTCCTGCCTTTTTTTTTTTTTTTAAACATACAGGGCACCCAAAGCTGCTTTCAAATTGCAAGATCTCTTAATGAAACAAAGCAAATGATAATAATAAAAACTCCCACTAGTTTAGTCTGGATAAATGTCAAGTCTTACACAACCAGTGTTTAAAACCATCCGGCATTTGCTCAGATGTTGGAAATTGCCATATTTTTCTCATTTCTTAGTTTGCCTTTTTGGAAGCTCTGCCAGTTGACTATCTTGGCCAAGCACTTTGATGTCATTCCTTAAGCCCCCAATTCTTTCTTTCACAAAGAACTCCCCATTTAATTGACACGGCCTACAGACAAAATATTTTACACCCCAACAGAGCCTGGGGCATTCACCTTCACTGAGATACAGTTAGCAAGGAAGGGGAACTTCCATTGTTGAATTTTTTTCTTCTTCTTCTTCCCCTGGAGATTTTTTTTTATTGGCAGACGTTCAGAGCTGGCGCTATATTACCGTGACTTGATTTACACTCCCACCATTGAGGGAAAATGCCATTCACTCAACGGGGAGGGGGGGAGAATGTGGGGGTGTTTGAAATCCGCTTGTTTTAATGGGGCAATAATTCAAACCTGTAACCTTGGTCAGTCTTCCCAATGAGGCTTTCAAGAAGATGAACAGGAACTTTCAACAGAAGTTGGAGTAAATTTCAAGGTGGGCAACTTTCCCCCCTTTGTAATAGAGCCTGGTTCTTGGGGTTTTAAAAGCTTTCCATTTCTGGCATGGAAAGGGCAGTCTACTTTTGATGGATTCCCCCCTTCCCTTTTCTTCCTCTTTAGGAGATTTGAAGAAGAGATGGGATCCTTTTCTACTCTTTTCCAATTAATCCCAGATCATTTCCTTGCCCTCTAAACCGAGGTTTAGCGAAACAAACGGATTGTATAAAGTCTCATAACTCATGACATCCCTTCAGACATCTGGCTAGGAAGACGGTTGCCTTATTGCGTGTTGTCAAAATGCATTATACGAATGCAGAAGAAAGCTCTCATGAATCTAATATGGAACTGGGGAAGGATAAGGAGACAGAAATGTAAGAAATTTGAGAGACCGGTCCTACTCGAGATACGGAGCAATTCTTGGAATCAGATGGGAAATGAAGTCTACGTTCAGTTTCCAATATGGAAGCTTAAGGAGACGCAAGCAAAGAAGATCTTCAGATGAAGCTAGTAAAGGAATCACCAGCAGATGCTGGATTCTCAATCCTTCTCATCATACCTCAAGTCACGAGTTTTAGACAAGCTCTCTGTGGGAATGTCTATGGAGATTCTCAGTCATCCAGGTCATGGATGAAGAAGTTCTGAAGAAGCTTCTTGGATGAGAAGCGAAACGTCTTCAAGGAAATGAGAAGCAAAATGTCTTCAAGGAAAAAATAAAGAAAGTCCAGTTGCCTCTTGAAAAAGCACCTTTGGGTCTCTGTGGGAATCCATTCTTCTATGCAAAATCTCTAACCTGGTTGAAATAATCAAATTCTGGCAAAAGCCTTTGTAGACCAGCCAAATGTTGCCAAGGGTGCTTTCTAATTTTGAACTATAGTGGTATAATGTGGAATAAAATACTTTTAAGACTTAGATTTATTTATTTTTCTAAAAAAATAATGTGAATTATTGACTGCCATCAAGTTAACCTTTAAAACTAGATTTGGACTCAAGTTGTTAAAAATCTTGGCACGTGGATGCAATCCCCCCTCCCAGATGCCACAGCAGTTTGAAGCACTGATATATCACTTTCTGAAATTATAGGATTATATAAGGGAATATAGCTACAAGTGATTCTCCTCTCAATTATCTAATAAGAATGGAATATTACTCTGGAGAGATAAGGACATGAAATGGTATTTACATTGTTAGATGACTGATGTTTTTCGTGGATTAATTTCCCCAAACCCCTCCCCCCATGACATTTACAATTAAACTGTTGACATTAGTAGGACCTTCCTTAAGTTTGTCCGTTAAGTTTATTCCTTCATACAAAGTCTGTTGTGGAGGACCTGTGCTGTTTGCAAAAAAAAAAAAAAGAGAGAGAAAAATCAAAATGAAAATGATATTAGCCAATATCCAGTTTAAAACCAAATTTTAAAAAAGCAATTAATGGAATATAGTCTAGTTAAAATCAAGCTGTTGACTGAATTCAAGAAAGCTTACTCACAGGTAAGGATTGCCGCGGTTCTAAACTGCACTGGCATTGGTCCAAATGGATAAAGCTTATACATTAAACGATAAGACAACTCTGTAAGGCTTACCAAGGCTTACTTATTGTCTTTAGGAAAAGAAATATATTTTGAAGTTCAAGGCAGTGTGTAATGGAAGCGGACTCTGATCTTAAAGGCTTTCTTCCCCTTATCCCTTGTGTTTTGGTTTCTTTACTTCCCTTTTTTTTTGTCTGTGTGATAAAAGAAATATGCCCTGCAGCTGTTAAGGGGTTTTCAATCTTGCCTTCCTTCTTATATCTTGGGTTTTAGTCCTAGGATTGGAAACATACTGTAGGTAGAGGCAGAACAACGGGCACATCCTGCTTAAAAGCTCTTGGTAGGGATATCAATGGATGTGTGGCCTCCACTGGATGAGTGGGGAAAATAGGATGATAATTTACAATTTCTTCAGTACACAACTCCCTCCGCTATGGGAAAACCCTTCATCTCACAGCCCACCCATCTGTTGCTGTCAGCCAAAGGATCTCTTCCTGCCGAAAGTGAACAGAAGGAGGACAAGAAACCCAATTCTTGAATTTGTTGGCGTCTTTTCCAACCCTTGTGTCTTTGCGAATGTCTTGCCTGATGAAGATTCTGAAGGATTTGAAAGCTCCCATACCTGCTCGGTGACAGGTTGGGGGTCCTATTAAAAGGATTGCCCTTCTGCAGACAGAAGAGGACTCTTAATGCCTAAAGGGCTTCATTAAAACCATTCTGAGTGGAGCATGGCGTGTGCTGCAACCCACAAAGAAGGACAGGTTTGAAAGCACATCTCAGAAGCTTTGTAGTAAGGAATGAAAAAACAACAACAGCCCAACACCTCTCTAGGCTATCCCAGAAATGGAGTCATTACAGTGATTATACTGAGCCTTCTCAGAAGGCTCGGACATTGGGCCATCATAGATGAGAACCAACTGGGTCCAGCTTTGTTTCTCAACCGTGGCAACTTTAAGACCTCTGGACTTCAATTCCCAGAATTCCCCAGCCAACACATGTTGGGATACAGTGAAACCTCGCTTTAACAAAACTTCTATTTAGCAGACTCTGGATGCCAACGATCCAGTTCCCATTTAGACATCCTTCTAAAACAGCTCACAAGTCCATCCCTTCTGAAGAAGTCTAGAGGAGACAATTTCAATGTATCTTTGAGCAATGATGATATCCTTATGCAAATGAGGCAATAAGGGTCAATCTATGTCATTTGCGTAACATTACAGTTTCATTCACATCTTCAGACAATTGGCTTCATTTCCATCATGACATCCATTGCCGTGGTAATTAATGGCTGCATCTAATGGACATTCAAGAGTAATGGACATCCCCCACCCACAAATGGTTCAATTAAATGAGATTAAATGAGATTACCTTGTACCATGATGAATCTATGGTAATTTGTGGAGATGCCCCACACATTTAGAATAACAAAAACCATCTCATCCTTATTTCTTTTAGATTAGAGAGAGATCTGGATGGACTACTGGGTATCATTTTCATTTAAAAGAGTCCCATGGTGGTGAAATAGATTTAAAAAGGGCATGGTGCTATTCCATCAAAAACGGAGATCCACAAAGCAGAATTACAAAACATGATAGTTCACTGGCCTCTCTATAGAGATCTCCCAAAGTCTTTTGTGATACATGTGTATTTATGTGCCGGTGTTTAAGGCAGCGTGGAAATGCTTGAAGTTACAGTTGTTTAAGGACCACACTTCTGCAATTGTAACAATGACCTCTTGTCTAGTAACAAGTCAGGATTAAGCTGAGAAAAGGGATGGTTTGTATCAGAAGGACAACATTGTGTTGGGAAGAGGGAGTTTCTCTGCATTAATTGGCAGGCATGAGAATTTTCAGAAAGGGGCCATCAAAATATTATTAACCCTTTCCCCCCAAATATATTTCTCGAACAAAGTGCAATACTGCAGGGATTGACCGTTCTGTATGTTACGGATGGCAATATTGGCAGAATCTAGAATCTATTCGTAGGCCAAGGAAATAAACAACGCTGGTTCAACAGGAGGAACACGTACCCTGCTTGGAAGCTACATTTTTCCATTTATGGCAATTCCACTCCGGACGGATAGAATAGTTTGTGTTTTGTATAAGACAGAAAGAGAGACAGCAACAAAATTAAACTCTATGAATACAATTACAGGAGGAAGTGTGGCCGTCCATCGGTGATCACCTGTGCGCCGATGAAGGAAACGGGATGGAGTTGTGACAGGTGGCATGGCCATCACTACAACAAGTGGGCTTCAGTGCGAAGCCAATGGAGTCCTTGACGAATGTAACGGACCAGGTTGGTCATACTGCTGTGTTGTGTCAACGGACCCATCACCAAGTCCAAGTCTATGAAGAACTCTGAAAAACAGAGAGAAATGTTATTTTCTGCTCGTCTACTGGGGCGGGGGGCAGTATATCCCCAAAGCAAGTGGCATGGAATTTATTGGTTAGTTTTCTATGCTCCCAATTTTCTCCTCCCCCTGATGTCTATCTCTCCATGTCTATCTATACATCCATATCTATGTGTCTTCCATTTGTCATCTCTCTCTCTCTCTCTCTCTCTTCATCCATCCATCCATCCATCATATCTATCATATCTGTCTGTCTAATCTATCTATTTATCTCTCTGTCTGTCTGTCTGTCTGTCTGTCTGTCTGTCTGTCTATCTATCTATCTATCATCTTAGAACTTATATCTAATGGGCTTGTAGGACTTCAGAACCTCTAGTTTTGAAGAGAATAAGGCAGGGATTAGCAATAATGAATGAAACCTTGGCAAGAGTGCTAAATTCCCATGTTCTTGTCTGAGCTCAGACATGGGACCATATATAATGGCAAGTATTGACACTCTAGTGAGCCTTTATATTTTATAAGGGTGGGTGTAGTTTGGTCTTTTACTGGGTCCCTTTAAGAGAGGTCTTAAAAGGACAGGGCACCATCCTGTCCTCCCACACTTCCTTTTCTCAACTACTCTTCACACTCGGAGCCCTGGCTGATATGCTTCAGAGGATTAGTCTATGAGAAGGAAAAATACAGAAACAGTCTTCCTGTCCATTGACTCCCCCTTTGGTGAAGAGTAATCCTCATCACAAACAGTAACAAAGCCAGTCAGTGAGCCAGCGTGTTCTGCTAACCTGCAAGATAAGAGCCGTTGGGTCTAAGCGTTATCAATGTAGCCTTAGCAGATCTCAAACCGGGGGGGGGGAGGGAAGAAAAAGAACGAGGGGAAGATACCTTTGTTTTCTTTTGTCAGTTTGTCGGCCATGTCCCAATGTTCATAGCTCCGCAAGACGTTGTTGGTGATGTTGACGTGGCTGGCAGCCATGTGGTGGATCCGTTGTGGGATGCTGACGGTCCCCACCGAAGAGGAGCCTGCCGTGCTTGTGGTACTTCCAAGGTTGCTGATGGGCGAGGGGCTCAGAGACATGGGGGAGGGCGTTTCTGTGCTCCTGGGAACATGATAAAGAGCCAGTGGATTCGATTTCTATCACACCTTTGGTTGTGAAGCAGACCTAATCTAGTCAACTTGACCAAACAAGTCTAAGTGTAGAGTCCTTGGTGCTCTCTGAGCTTGGATAAATGTCTAGGGAGATTCTCAATCATCCAACTCATGGTTGTCCCAACGCTGCTTTTTCCAAAAGGCAACTGGACTTTCTTGGGGTTTTTTTCTTTGAAAACATTTTGCTTCTCACTCAAGAAGCTTCTTCCGTTCTTCCTCAGAACTAGGTAACATTATCAGTGCTGGAAGGGTTTACTCTCTGCTTCTGTACAAGTGGCTTACTCTATCAGTGTTGGTGGAAGAGGTCTTGGTGGAGAAGACCACTTGGTGGTTCCTTGGAACCATAGCCTAACCAACGTTGGATGGATTTCCCTACTTCTGTGTTAGCACTGAAGCATGAAACTAAAAGTCAAAGAAAGAAAATGCAACTACACCTTAACACACATTTAATCTGATTCCCCCCATCTCTAGACAGGGATGATCAACCACTATCTAGCTTCAACCCTGATTGTTCACTGTTTCCCTCTTTGGAGGGGAAGAGATGAGGGATCTCCAAGAGATAGTTGAAAGCATATTTCCCAGAATTCCCTGGGCATTCTTAGCCCTGATGCACCAGGAGGAACTTCAAACTATTAACTAATAAAATCCCGGTCAGCCATCTTGTTTCAGTAGGTCTCTTTCAATATACTTGTGGAGATGCATTCTTCTTATTCAGCGTACTTTCAAGAGCACCTTTTAAACAAATACATATAATATTGCTATAAATTCCTATCTTTTAGCCCCAAATCTTATAGTGGCATCCCAAAGGGATTTAGGGGCAATGTTCCAAAGAGAAATCTTTGATTAACTGCTGTCCTCAGTAGAATTTGTTTACTCTGTATGGTTGGTTGATTAATAAACACCTAAGTGAAGTAGGGCAAACGAAAACAATTCGGGTTTTTTTTCCCCCCTTAAAAGTCTTTCAAATTTCCCTTCCTGCTGCGAAGATTATTTTCAGGCTGCTAAATTAAAAAAGAATCCAGCTATGCAATATGTTCTCAGATCCCAAGATTCCCTATGGAAGCCAATCATGAGCCCAAAGGCTGTATCTAATTTGCATATTTTATTAACATTATTCCATTGTGCTTGACAATTAATCTGCTGGATATTGTGACAAGTGCGTTTTCTGTCAGCCATTTCATTTTATTTTATTTTTTCAGATTGAATAGTTAGCATCTGTCTCTTGCTAATATTACAAAAAAGAAAAGAAGAGAAAAGGAATGCAATAGCCTACTTTGGAAAGCCGATGTGAAATTTGATAGGATTAATGCCAAACAGTGATGATGATGATGATGGATGATGAAAAATAACAGCAGGCTACTGAGGGTCAAAATATTCACGCTAAGCATGTCGCCTGTAGTCTTGATTTTTTTTAATCTAGCTTAATATCATAACGTAGACTGAGATGGAGTTTAAGCTGTCCCATCTCAGTTCGAAATTGTCCTTCAAGAATTCACCCATTCAACAAAGAGTTAACATAGTCCTATTTTGGGACCTGTTAATAAATCTCTTTTACTTCCATTGACTATTGATTATTGGTAGGATGGTATTCCATCTACTGCTTTTGTGGATATCATCATCATTGGAACTGCTACCAAAACTTGATGTGATTTCCACCAACTGAGGTGAGGATGGGATGAAGACTAAGGCCCCTTCTCACAAGTCACAAGAGAAGCAATATGGTGTAATTAATAGGGTGTTGGTCAAAGACTGGGGAGATCATGGTCCAAGGCTACCTTTAGCCGGGAAACAAAGTGACCTTTCAACCCTGAACTGTTGTGGGGCCTTGGAGAGGGGGTTGGACTAGAAGACCTCCATGGTCCCTTCCAGGCCTATGATTCTATGACAGCATTGAAGGGAAAAGTGACATTATTTTGTATGAGAAAGGTTTGATATGACAGGTAGAATTTTAAATGATTTTGCTAGATGAACAACTGGAATTACATCTGTTCTGGGGAGGAACAGGAAAATAATAGAATAATAATAAAACAAAGGATCCTCAAAATGTTGTGATCTTCCCACTCCATTTAGGAAACAGTCTGAATTATTGGCTAATAACTGATGGGGAGAAAAAATTCAATTTGCTACAATAGCTTGGCCTATTTCCCCATAATCTGTTCTTAAACCCCCTTCCTGGGTGGTAGAAGGAATCACATAGAGCATTAATCCTATATTTCTGCAGGAATTCTTAGGGCTTTAACATTCTTTGGCATCAAATCACCTGGGCTGTGTTTTCTATGAAGTTGTCTTTCAAGTTATCTACTTGGCGCTCACTAACCCTCCCACGTGAATTTTCTTTTAACACCAACAATTACGAAAACATCTGCCAGCTTAGAGCACTATGGGACAGCTGCCCCTAGCAGAATTTTACATTCAAGCAAGACTTCAGAAACTGAATTATTTTTTTTAATACGCATTGGAAGCTGATCAAAATCCGAGAAATCCATATAATGTGGATGTGACCTCAGACATATCTATAGATTTTCCCACTAGATAGAGGGATAGAATCAAGATCACATGAAGTGTTAATACCACTTTATAAGGCCTTGGTAAGGCCACACTTGGAATACTGCAGCCAGTTTTGGTTACCACGTTGTAAAAAAGATGTTGAGACTCTAGAAAGAGCATAGAAGAGCAACAAAGATGATTAGGGGGGTGGAGGCTAAAACTTACAAGGAACAGTTGCTGGAAGTGGGTATGTCTAGTCTAGTGAAAAGAAAGACAGGGGTGACATGATAGCAATGTTCCAATATTTGAGGGGCTGCCACAAGGAAGAGGGGGGAGGGTCAACCTATTCTCCAAAGCTGGACAAGAAGCAACGGATGGAAACTAATCAAGGAGAGAATCAACCTGGAACTAAAGAGAAACTTCCTGACAGTGAGAACAATTAACCAATGGAATAGCTTGTCTCCAGAAGTTACAGGTGCTCCAACACTGGAGGTTTTCAAGAAGAGGTTGGACAACCATTTGTCTGAAATGGTATAGGTTCTCCTGCCTGAGCAGGGGGTTGACGAGTGGTTCATATTTATGATGGTTGCAGTGTCCTGGGGTCACGTGATCCCCTTTTGCGACCTTTTGACAAGCAAAGTCAATGGGGAAGCCAGAGTCACTTAACAGCGGTGTGACTAACTTACCAACTGCAGTGATTCACTTAACAACTGTGGCAAGAAAGGACGTTAAGATGGGGCAAAATTCACTTAACAGATATCAACAGAATGTTGGGCTTAATTGAGACGAGGACTACGACTGTATATTTGAAGATGGTGACACCCACCCCTTATTTCCCGCATGATCTATAGTACTTGGTGGCCTTCAACGGCTTATCCTGGACGATGAGAAATGGGGAAAAAGAATAATGTTGACCACCCCAATAATGAAGCCCAATGTTTGAACATGTCAGTCCTAGTCTTGAAGAAGTGTTGAGTTCCACTTCAGGAGATGAAACATCTTGGGCAACACACAACATTGCGTTGCGCCAGATCCATGTTATCTCAAGAGTTCTGATGGAGCAGCTTCTTCCTCCTCTTCTGCTCTCCAAGAGGCATCCTTTGCCCAGAGTTCAAGGATGGAAAATAAATTGTCCTTCATAGCCTACCTTTGCTCCCCTCTCTGTCTACCTCAGCACCTGTCCTGCGTGATGGATGATTCTGTTGTGACAAGGCCTCCTGTTCTTTATGGTCTCAGACGCTCATGGTGGCACGTAATTCATGGTAGACAGGGTGCGTTCAGCTTGGGTGATCACAAACTGTGCGGCCTGCTTGATTATGAGCACAGGTGGCACAACACGGGGTGTACCAGACCCAAATATGTATGTGGTTAACAAAATTGAGCTTTAGGGTTGAAACCAGCTACTTTTGCACTGAATCAGAGCAGAACACAGGGTGAAGAGATTGTTCATTTGAGTTCCATAATGCTTCCAGTTTATTAACAGCAGTTACCACATATCAACTGAATAACTGTTGGCTTTTAATAATAATAATAATAATAATAATAATAATAATAATAATAATAATAATAATAATAATAATAATAATAATAATAATAATGGTAAAGTTGGAAGGGACCTTGGAGGTCATCTAGTCCAACCCCCTGCTCAGGCAGGAAACCCTATACCATTTCAGACAAATGGCTGTCCAGTCTCTTCTTTAAAACTTCCAGTGAGACATTAACTTTGATCCTAAACTTTTCTTTACTCTTCTGGAGTGGTGTGGGTCCTTCCTAACCAACTCCTTTACGGTCCTCAATTGGGTTTAAGGAGAATACGGGATCTATCAATCCGTATAAATTTATCATTCTGTTTGTCAAACTTCGACACCCCTTTCCCCGAACATTAAACCTAATCTAACAACAGATCTTCATCGACCAAGGAATGTTCCCTCTTCCCAATATCCTATTTTACAATTCCCCTCCAAGAACGAGGGATACTTACTTGCCTCCCCAAGGAGAAGGGGCCTGTGAAACTTTGGATGAATTCTGTTAAAAAGAGAGAGAGAGAGAGAGAGAGAGAGAGAGAGAAGAGAGAGAGAAAGAGTCAATTAAGTGGAAGAAAGCACAAAATGGCCTTAGCAAACCAAATAACCACTTGCATTTTTAAAAATCCAATGGGCGGTGTTACATGAGCCCATAAATACAATACGTTACCTTTCAAAACCTTTCAGCATGACTCTCAATGCTTCACAATAGTAGCTCATCTATTGCAATGTATTCACACACACAAAACAGAGACACACACAAAGAAATGGCACTTTTTTGTGTGTGTGTGCAAAAGTGGCTATGTGGAAAATCACTGACAGGGTAGCATTTTCTGTTCTGAGAGGCAATTAAACTGAATATACCTTACGTCCGCTTTATAAAAATTCTGGAGCCAAGCCTTGTGGCAGAGACCTTAAAGTAGGTTTTGGGGAAAAAAGCAGTTTTGCAAAAAAAAATCTCCAAAGTCACCCTTTATTTTTCTTTGGGGAAGGGTTTCTTTGAAGGGATCTTTGGAGGAGAATCCACCCCACTCTTTCCTACCCCTGTTTCCTCCCAAACCCTTAATGACGAGGGTTTTGCCCTTTCTGCATAAAAAGCAATTAAATGCCATTTACCTTAAAATATTCCATCAAGGATCTGGAGTACTTCATGGCGTGATCCTTCTTTAGTTTAAACATTCTCAGATAGAGAAGGGATAAGCAGCGGTAGCTATAGTAATTCGGAAACACACACAAACACAAAGTTGACGTTATTTCCAAAAGATGTGATCTCTGGGCACCAGCCACAGTGGAGAACCACACTGGGTTAGCACTGACCTAGAGCTATTTTTAAAATGATTTTTATTAAGCGTTTTTTTACAAAGAGACAAGACAAATATGAAAGTATAGAGAAGGGAAGGAAGGAAGGAAGAAAGAAAGAAAAAAAGGAAGGAAGGAAGGAAGGAAGAAGGAAGAGAAAGAAAGAAAGAAAGAAGGAACAAGGAAGGAAGGAAGGAAGGAAGGAAGGAAGGAAGGAAGGAAGGAAGGAAGGAAAAGGAAAAGAAGGAAGGAAGGGAGAGAGAGAGAGAAAAAAAGGTTGCAAAAGGCTCCCTTAATGATTGCCCTGCTTAGCAATGGAAATTCTGCTCCTAAATCTGGGTGTAAGTCAAGGACTACTTGTAAGAAACAGAACGAGGAAGAGGAAGATGAATGAAGCCACAGGGGAGAAGGATAGAAGAGGAAGAAATGGTGAGGAATATCGAGGGAAGAGAGAGAAATCAGAACAGTCTAAATTCTGGTTTTCAACGAAAGCTTTAATCAGATTTAATAACTAGGGCAATGGAGAAAGATGTCTTACCAAAGGACTGCAAGTTTCTTGTCTCCTTCTGTAGCAGAAGATCCGGTGAAGTTCTTAAGTCTCATGGCGTACCTTCAGAGAGAGAAGGAAGAGGTGGCATGGGTGGCATCAAGGAACAACAGTGGTGGCCACAGACACAACTTAATGATCTCGGAGTTGTAAACAGGCACCAGGGCCTCCATCGTCCTTCAAGAGAGCAGCTGCCACCCTCAATGAACACAGTAGGAGAAATATCTGTCTTTTTGTAGAATAACAGAGTTGGAAGAGACCTTGTAGGTCATCTAGTCCAACCCCCTACCCAAGCAGGAGACCCTACACTATTTCTGGCAGATGTCAGTCCAGTCTCTTCTGGAAATCTTCCAGTGATGAAACTCCCACAACTTCTGAAGGCAACTTCTGTTCCATTGGTTGATTGTTCCCACTGTCAGGAAATTTCTCCTTATTTCTAGGTTGAATCTCTCCTTGATCAGTTTCCATCCGTTATTCCTTGTCTGGCCTTCTGGTGCTTTGGAAAATAGGTTGATCTCTCCTCTTGGTGACAGCCCCTCAAATATTGGAAGATTGCTATCCTGTCTCCCCTGGTCCTTCTCTTCACTAGACTAGCCATGTCCAGTTCCTGCAACCCTCCATACGTTTTAGTCTCCGGTCCCCTAATCATCTTCATTGCTCTTCTCTGCAATCTTCATTTTCACTTCTCTGGACCTTCCCACTCCCATATTCCCTGCACTCGGCTTTTTGAAAAACCAGATCATCCTATAAAAATCATTATTCTGAGCCTTAATACAATTTCACAGCACTTATGTTAAGGATAAGGAAAAGAGTTCACTCTTGCGTAAGAAAGTTTTAAGGTATTCCAGCAGCTTCATTTACCAGGAAGTAATGGAACAGGTGAATGGCAGTGTGTTGTTCACACTAGTGTGCTGTCACACCCATCACTGCTATGATATGCTGATTATGGAAGCTCCTTTTGATCTATGCTGGCTGGGGAATTCTGGGAGTTGAAATCCACAAGTCTTAAACTTGCCAAGTTTGGAAACCCCTGAACTAAAGAACTTTCTGCTAGGTGACAGTATATAGATATTTTAAGTAAATAAATATATGAACACTCGTGTTGACTATAAACTGGATGCATTTCTGCTCTCCCCTCTTCCTTTCTGGGTATATCTAAACAAATGAAGCCCTTATCTGCCAAAATTCATTTTGGAACAATTATTTTATGGCTAATTGGTAAAGTCTAAAAAGGCAGGCTTTATAACAGAGACCCCAACGGTCTCCCTTTAAAATATTTGGAACGATAAAACTAACCCTTTCCGATATAAATGTCACAGCCCAACGATGAAATTATGATGCTTTGCTTCCATCCACTGCATTTCAATTTTAATTATACGAATATTGCAAATTATACAACACCCTTATTATCCTCTAACAGGGCTAATTTATAAGAACAGCGTCCATCAATTATGAATTTTCCATGGCGTTAATAAAATGGCGAAAAGAACTAATTATGATGGCTTCTGAGATAGAGATGCCTTGGTCTAATCATTAACAAGGTCACAATGATCCTTAAAGAAAAAACATGAAGCAAGTTATAATTACGCGTTGAAGGAGGAGGAGGAAAAGGATCAGAGAAAAGGCATTAACCTGATCAGTTCCACCGTCTCGGAGTACATGGTATACGGAGATTTTGCCTCTAATGGATCGCGCTCCATGGCATTCCCGCATTCGATGAAAGAGATAGCGGCGTCAGCATAATTCACCGCTTTGCCGAATTTTTCCAGCTGAAAAATAAAGGAAGGTGGACGTACAATTGAGACGAGGCTTCGGCTGGTCTACAACAGAGGTCCCCAACCTTTGGGGCACCAGGGACCGGTTCCATGGAGAGAGGTTTTCCCGCAGACCGGAGGGTGTGTGGTTTTGTGTGCTGCCTGCATCCCACAAAACCATTACTGCCCCCACAATGGGCATACCTGTTAATGAACGGTGCTGCAGGCATACTAATAATTAGCATCATTTAAGACACTATTAATAAGGCTCACAAGTGTGTTGCAATCCTGTCTGGTATACCATTTCTCTGCTGAATCAGCAACGCAACCAGGTAGAGTGAAAAGGGATACTTGGAGACTTACCAGGGCGTCTGCTTTATGCTTGAGCTTTTTGGCTTCTTGCATGTAATAATCAGCATTGTGGAGCCTAGGAAGACACAACAACAACAACAACGTCAGAAGAAGCAGCTGATGGGATTTCAGCTCTTGCATTGGCCTAATCTAGACTTAATTCTTACAGGGCTTGCTTTAATCCTGCCCATCTTCTAAAAAAAAAGAAAAATCATGTAAATATACATGGTACTCTGTTTTCTTCACTCTTGTGACTCATCCCAGAAGCTAAGAAGGATAGGCTCTGGAAAATATTTGGGAAGGAGACCACTTGGGAATCTGAGAGCCCTCGACCAGATTGGGAAGTCAAGAGAACATCTTGGAAGAAGCTGACTGCAAAAGACTTCTGCTAACTGTATGAAGATTTCAAACGTCTAATACGTGCACAGTAAATTTTCTTCCCCTACAAAAGATATTTCTTCATTTGTACAATCTCTAGCCATTGCACAGAGTTCCTCCAGCTTATCTCTTGGCAACATCAGATTAGACAATTATAGGGCGTGCTTTATTTAGAAGACTAAAATGACCATGTGGGTTTTGGCCTGGTCTGGATTTCATTCAAAACTGGGCCAGGATTGAGAAGAACCAACTCTTCTTTTAGGGACAAGTGCCAGCTAGGTTGGTCAGTCTTAGTTCTAGGCAGCGGTGGGATTCAAATATGTGAATAACCAGTTCTCTGTGTAGATGCTGCTTCCGGAAGTCCACTCTGGGCCTGGGCAATAAAAAATTAGCTGCCGGTTCTGCCAAAGTGGTGCGAACCGGCTGAATCCCACCACTGATTCTAGGACAAAGATAAGGGCAAACGATTTCTGACAATGTTGCCCAGAGAACTGCATGTGGTTGTAGGAGTCACAACTTATTCAAGGCCCTCCCAATCCAATGAAACTCAACCCAATCAAAGTTGCTCAGGCAGTGTACAAAAAGAAGATTGCGAGACCTAAAGTGCTTCAAAGCAATGCAAACCCACAAAAATACTAATACGATCCTACTAATAAGTAACTAACATATCATCAAATGTTATCTTGGGTCTTCTCAATTCAGGATTCCCGTTGCTGAAGGTGGGACTTGTCAACCAAAGATCGGTGTCTAGGTGGCTGGATTCCAGCAAAGGATTGGAAGGCCTGCTGTGAGATTCTTCCTCCTGCAGAAAACAATTTTAATTAGCAGCCTCAGCCTTCACGCTAAGAATACCTTTACACGTCCCGTCATGCAAGTGCGCGTGCCTTGAAATTAAAATCCAGCTCTTTGTTTTGCGTTGCTTGGGCTGCATGTTGCTAAGTCAAGCTCAGCAAATTAATTAAGTGCAATCGGCTCCATACCACTCACATGCCCAGCATCATTAACACCCACTTCTTCCAAGGTGTAATGTCAGCATGGGTGCCCGGTAGCATCGCCGGCTTATTAAAATTAAAATGTTAGAAGCCAAACAGCAAGCAAAAATTCACAGTATCCAGTGATTAGGCCCGGCGCCAGACGAGAGCAGAAGAGTCTGCCCCTGGAAAAAGATAACTCTTGAATTCCCTGCCCTTTTAAAATCATAGAAGCTAAATCACAGATTAAAGATCAGCGCTGTGCAGCGTCTCTTGAATTTTGCATGACCAAAGCGAGCACGGTCAAGAGTAGGTGGTGTAGAAAAAAACAATTTCAAGAAGGACGATGGGTGGCTAAGGAGTAAGGATGCTGGCTGTTGCTCATCCCCAACCATGGGGACTGCCCTGGGAAAGATCATGGATGGAACTGAACTGAAGCCCCCAATTCCAGGGGCAGGAAAGAAGGTTGAGGGGCAGCAGGCTCAGAGAGCACCAAGGACCCCACAGTCTTCTTCCTCCTCTCCGCAAATCCCACTCCCTTCTAGCACTGATGATGTTATCTAGGTGGGTCATGAAACATCTGCAAGAAAACCACCAAGCTCAGAGGGCACCAAGGACCCCACAGTCTTCCTCCTCCTCCTCCTCCTCCTCCTCCTCCNCCTCCTCCTCCTCCCTTCTAGCACTGATGATGTTCCCTAGTTGGGTCATGAAACATCTGAAAGAAAACCACCAAGCTCAGAGAGCACCAAGGACCCCACAGTCATTTTCCTCCTCCTCCTCCTCCTCCTCCCACCCCACTCCCTTCTAGCACTGATGATGTTCCCTAGTTGGGTCATGCAACATCCGCAAGAAAACCACCAAGCTCAGAGAGCACCAAGGACCCCACAGTTCAACCCTGAGCTCCAGAGATTCTCCTTTATTGATAAGTCAGTTGAATCGGATCTGGTCTTTCCAGCCTGACACTTACACTGATTCCCTTGGAGTTGACGGAAGACTTGTTCTCATTCTTCCTGTGTTTGGAGCAGATGTTGGTCTGCAAGAAGCTTGGTAGGGAGTTCTCTTGGCCGAAGGAGCTGTTGTCCATGATGTTGTGCCGGGGGGCTGTCTCGTCAAGCAGAGGAGACAGCGGAGGTGGGAAGAGCTTTTCTTCCCTCTTTTTGGTCATTCTTTTCATGGAGTTGCTTCTGTCAAGGAAGAAAACCAACCACGTTTTAGCAAACCTATACAGGCCGTCTTCAATTTACAGCCATCTGAAGTGACAACGGCATTGAAAAAAGCGATTTATGACCGTTTTTCACACTTAGGAACATAGCAGCGTCCCCAGGATCACGTGACCAAAATTCAGACGCTGGGCACCTGACTCGTATTTATGACGGTTGCAGCATCCTGCAGTCACGTGATCCCCTTTTGTGGCCTTCTGACTAGCTAATGGGAAAGCCAGATTCACTTATCAACCATGTTACCAATAACAACTCCTTCCCCGGGACAAAAAAACAACAACCCTACATTTAAACCTTGGCTGTGAAGAAAAAGAAATAAAGAAAAAAAAAGGAAATAAAAGTCCAGTTGGATAGATCCAGCTGACTCTTTAACATGTTAATCCGACCGTGGATTATTTTTATTATTATTATTTTTATTATCATTATTATTTTTATTATTGTTGTTGTCGTTACTGTCCTAGTCCAGTCAATGAAGATTACTTGGATTTTAATCCTTCCGCAGATAACTCATATTGCATTCTTTGCCATTTACTTTTCAGGATCATCGACTCAAATTTTCAATAGCAAATTAAGTCAACAAGAATGGATGTCTCCCTCTTAGTCAATTTAAGTCAGTGTCAGGCTTTTATAGATTTACAATACCTCAAAGGAACAAATCAGAGACAAACACGCAAAGGAAAGCAACTTGGCTCCTTGACTGGGGGGAAATTCAATCGCCTCAGCTGGCTGTGTTCAACAACCCTCGTCCATTTCTAATGAAAGCAGCATCTATTTCAGTTATTATTTATGGCATCGGACCCGGATACCTTCGAGACCGCCTCCTGCCGCAGATTACCTCCCATCGACCTGTACGCTCCCACAGAGTGGGTCTCCTCAGGGTGCCGTCGGCCAGACAGTGCCGGCTGGCGACCCCAAGGGGAAGGGCCTTCTCTGTGGGAGCTCCCACCCTCTGGAACGAACTGCCCCCAGAGATCAGGGTCATCCCTGATCTCCCTTCCTTCCGCCGCGCCCTTAAGACTTGGTTATTCCAGCTTGCAGGACTGGCCTAGGGTAATTTTTAGAGGGGTTTTAATTATATTTTAATTGGACTACGTTTAAATATTTCTTTTTAATTAATTTTAATTCTGTAATTGTTATTTATGTATTTTAATTGATTGTCAGCCGCCCTGAGTCCTACGAGGAGAAGGGCGGGATATAAATCCAAATAATAAATAAATAAATAAATAAATTGTGGCCGTTAGCAAGTAAAAAAAACAAAACAATTGGAGTCGCTACTGGAATGTTCTTATCCATTCCGGTTAATTCAGTCCTTAGAACAGAGTTCCTCAACCTCAGCAATTTCTATGGACTTCAACTCCCAGAATTCCCTAGCCAGCATGTATTCTGGGAGTTGAAGTCCATAAAAATGGCCTACTGAAGTTCCTCAACCTCAGCAGCTTTCAGACATATGGACTTCAAGTCCCAGAGTTTCTAGCCAGCATGAATTCTGGGAGTTGAAGTCCATAAAAATGGACTGTTGAGATTCCCCAACCTTCGTAACTTTCATATGTGTGGACTTCGACTCCCAGAATTCCCCAGCCAGCATGGATTCTGGGAGTGAAAGTCCACCAATGAAAGTTGCTGGGGCTGAGGAACCCTGCCTTAGAATATGCACTCAAGACCACAAGATAAACTAGCCAGCAAAGGGAAGGTTGTATGAATGGTGGTATAAGCACAATTGGTCACAGACATGCAAAACTTGGATCAAAAGCAAGTCGGAGTCCTGAGATTGGGTTCTAGGCCACCATGGCCAAACAAGCCATGGTCTTCATGAGGAACCCATGACCATGAGTGCTAAGTCATTGAGAAGACTTCCTATTGATCCTTCTGTAAGTGTTGAGACCCTTACAACACGAATAAAGCTGATGATATTCAAAAGGTAGCAAATGATTGGGTTAAATACGAACTTGGAGGATAATCAGAGCAAATCGCATCACCATCCTAGTCTCAGTTAAACATAACTAATAAGAAAACCAGGGAGAAAAATTGCTTGGCAACTGGAAACATCTGGGACCGGGGGAAATGTAGACCTAGCATAGGGGAAATAACTATTGATGAACACAATTATATTATAACACAGGATACCGATATTTGCAGGGCTCAAAGGAATCAAATTAATGACCTAGAAAACAAGCTGAAATTAAGAAAACATCAGGTTGGGGGCTAATTCTGTAGGGTTTAGTAAAAGCAGGAACTATAAGATTTTAAAAAAGATGATGCAAGCAGTTGGAGAAAGATAAACACAGGTCGCTGAAAGATTACATTCGCATCATCCTTAAATGGATCCCACTCTTTAAGTTATCGGTGCCATTTTCAGACTTGAAAGATGGTGGGGAGGTGCTAAAGAATGCAAATTAAGATACATTCATTTGCATTAAGTGGAGTTAGTAATTAGACAGGTAGAAGAGAGATTAGGAATGGGCTGGTTTTATTTCACAATGCTTTAAAAGCCATGAGTTTTAAGTTAATTGCGGGATTACTTACTCAATATAAATTTCACTGCCGTGCAACAATATGACGGAGGTTTCATTTTGTTGAAAAAATATCAGTCAAAGATAAATCCTTCAAATTAAAGTTTAAAGACCTGACAGAGAGAAAACCGGGGGAGGAGGGTGAAGCTAGTAGCTCCTGTAGGTTGACTATAGTAACCAGGAGTCATAACTATTTCTTTGTTGAACAAAATATGGGAAATAAAGGGATAAAATAAAACCAGGAACGAGGTCTGTCAACTGCATGGAATTTCTGAAGCTAAAAACCCTGGACTAATTCTGTTAGATCCATTGTGAAAACGTAGGGGGAAAAAAACATACTCTTTTGTGTTGGTTATCCTATGGTTGGGTATCGGAGAAATGCAGGGTGGAAGCAAGCAAGAAGCCGAAGATTCTTCTAAGCGTTGTTTCTTGTTGTCGCCAAACATCTCCACGTTTTCGGACTGCTTCGATCAAAACAAGAGAAACCAGAAATGTTATGCTTTTTTTTCGCATCACCTTTTCAACAACGGATGAAATCAAACTGTTCTTGCAACCCAAAACGGTCATATCCCAGCGGAATCACCTTTACTGGTGGGTCTAGCTACCTAAATTTCTCACCAACCGGGAGAAGAATCCCTTGGGGAACGCACGCTCCCCCTTTCTTCAAGTGGTATCCATGAGACCTTGCAAGAGGATAATATTGACAAGGCTTCGTGACATCCTCACTTCTGCTCCACTGGCTGAGCAGAGAGAAAAATGGCCATGGTTTGGCCATTGCAATCCGTGTTTGAGCTCTGTGCTGTGACAAAAGCATGGGCCGTGATTCCTCTAATGGAGAAGATTGGTCTTCTAGATGGGTTTCTCTCTAGATCTTTTTCATGGGGTACTAGATAGATAAAATGGGAGAGTTGAGAAGGTTTTGGAGTTCCATGACTAGGCTGGTTGGGTGGAACTTGGTGAACCCTAGGCAAGTTTGGAACTATCTGGGACTAAATCCAGCCCCACTGGAATGAGTTGACTATAGTATAGCTGTTCACTATAGGAGTGGGGTCAAAAACCATCCTTTTGTTGGGGGGCAATAGGACTAGAATCAACTGTGGAGTTGTCCCCTTTCTCTCTGCTGATGCTGGCCTCTAATTCTCTCTCTCTCTCTCTCCCTCTCTCTTTTTCACGATTAGAAGACCTAAAAGACCAGGTTAGGACAGATCGACATAGAGAACATCTGTCTACATGGTTGTAGAAGTCAACACTGACTTGACAGCACCCAATCAATCAATCAGTCAATCTCCTCTTTCCATGATTTTTTTTCTCTTCGCTTGCTTTCAATCACCACTTCTCTCTTTGTGTCATTCTTTCTCCCTTTCCTCTCTCTGTTTTTTTTTTTTTGACAGTCTTTTATCTCACTTTCTCTCCCCCACCATCCTTTCATTTTCTCTCTCTCCCCTCCAGATTTTTCTTGCCTAGACAGGCCCTTCCATCTCTGGATTGCCCAAATATGCATGAAATTAGAATGAGTGCCACTTGGCACTGTAAACTGTCCAGATTGATTCAGCTAATATTTTTAGCACCCCAGTTTAATTCTGTAAAACCTGTCAGGGATGGTTGCTTGTGAAATGTCCTATTTCATCTTTAGCAAGGAGATGAAGGACAGTCTTTTGTCCCAATTTACTCTCTTTTCCTTCCAGGAAATGCTAAAAACAGGCATTTTTTGGGGGGAGGGTGTCAGCAATGACAATTGTAGGTAGGTTAAAAAAGCAAAATCCTGGCTGCAAATATTCGGTCTGCAGATCTCCCCCCCCTTCCTCTCCTGTCCCAAAAGCACATTTCAGTTTGAAGTCATATCCCACCCTGAACAATACATCCCTGGATGTAAATAATATAAAACACACGATAAAGCTTTGCCTCTTGACTCACAAAAGATTCTGCTTTACAAGTAGTGGTTGGGGAAGGAAAAAATGCAGCAAAGAAGAAAAATAAAAAAGATGCTTATTTAAGTGAATGGCATTTTGATAAATCACAGGTGTTTATGTAACAAAATCCCCCCAATTTTTTTTTCCAATGTGCAATAAAGACAACACTCAGCAAATGTTACAGAAAGCTTGCCTGCTTTTGACTTTGATGGATGGATGCCTTTTTAAAATGGAGAGGAATCTTGTCCTAATGCTCTAAACAGTAAAAACCAAAGAAAACAAAACAAAACTGACAAAGATGTAGCATTAGATTAAACTCAGGAGAGGCGTTTGATTACCCAAGTCTTTTTTCTCTCTTGTGCAATATCCCAAATTCTATTCTAATAAGGGCTGTGCCAATAATGTATTCTGCTTTTAAAAAATTATGCTTATTCCAGGTGATGGGGGAAAAAAGTAGTTTTAGCTGTTTCTTCCCCCAACATTTGAAAGCAATTCTGGTTGAAAGGATGCAAATAAATAACCCGTGTTTCTTTATGTTATCCTTACTCCGTTTATTGCCTGATCTGGCTTTCTAAACCCCCATTAATCCACAATCATGGCCAAAGGAGTTCATTGGGGGGGGTTTAAGGACATTAAAATAGTAAGTGTGACTGTGTGATCAAAGCTACTCTCCTTTTAATGGATGTATAATGTACATTAAGAAGGGATGGAGCTTTCATTACTGGTTGCATCTGCCATTTTGACATGGTGGACAACCTCTGTGGATGATCCTTCTTGACTCATTTCACCTGTAGGCTTTAGAGCAGAAGAAGGCAATTCAAAGCACACCCAACTATGCTGTTGATATCTGGGGATAAATCCACCAATTTGGGGCACCATCAAGTTCCCACCCAGGATTTTTGGCCAAATAATAACAGAGTTGGAAGGGACCTTGGAGGTCTTGTAGTCCAATCCCCTGCTCAAGCAGGAGACCCTAGACTGTTTCAATCAATGAATCAATGAATCAATGAATCAATGAATCAATCAGTATAGAGTTGGAAGGGAGCTTGGAGGTCTTGTAGTCCAATCCCCTGCTCAAGCAGGAGATCCTAGATTGTTTCAATCAATCAATCAATCAATCATCAATCAATAATCAATCGATCAATCCAATCAATCAGTATAGAATTGGAAGAGACCTTGGAGGTCTTATAGTCCAATCCCCTGCTCAAGCAGGAGACCCTAGACTGTTTCAATCAATCAATCAATCAATCAATCAATCCAATCAATCAGTATAGAGTTGGAAGAGACCTTGGAGGTCTTGTAGTCCAATCCCCTGCTCAAGCAGGAGACCCTAGACTGTTTCAATCAATCAATCAATCAATCAATCAATCAATCATCAATAATCAATAATCAATAATCAATCAATCAATCAATCAATCCAATCAATCAGTATAGAGTTGGACGAGACCTTGGAGGTCTTCTAGTCCAACCCTCTGCTCAAGCAGGAAACCCTACACCATTTCAGACAGGTGGTTGCCTAATCTCTTCTTAAAAACCTCCAGTGTTGGAGGTCCAATAATTTCTGGAGGCAAAGGTAGACAATCTCAGAAAGCTTGATGTTTTCCTCTTATTTTGAGTGGCCCCTATCTTCACGAAAGTGAATAAAGGAACGCCGAGGATAAGGAACTTACTTTGTGCTTCCTTTTGGTTTTAGCGGACGGTTTTTCAGCCGGGGGCAAAGGAGAGTCGGGCGCCTGTCGCCGATGCTTGAGGTTGACCTCTCGAGCTTCCACCTTCCCAGAGATGTTCTCAAAGTCCAGCTCTTGCCCAGGCACCCGAGAGAGGAAACTCAGATCTATTTTCACCCAAAGGTACTTGAGCTCTTCGAATTCCTTCAAGGGCGACAAGGGTTCATTCTGAACGATGGGAAGAGGTGAAAAAAGGGGTTCCTCCAGGTCCGCCCCATTCTGGTCCACCGAAGTGTTGCTGTTGTTGCTCATCAAGCTGCTGACACTCAGGATGTTGCTGCTGGAGTCCTTGGCTTTGATCCCGCTGTCCGAGCCGCTCCCTCCCTGCAAGCTCTTGGCTTGCAGGCTCTCCTCGTGGTCGGTGTTCGAATCCGAGGTGGATGAATCCGTTTCCACAAACTCCCGCGACTTGGGAAAGATTTTGCTAGGGCCTCGGTACTTTTTCTTCTCCAAAGGCGGGCCTGCGGTGGCCCTGGGCTCCTTCCTCGGAGCGGTCTTCCCAGCAGCCATCTTTGCCCTCAGTTTGGCCTGCTCTGGGCTCTCTTGCGCCTCCTTTTCTTTGGGGGTGCTGCTGGTGGTCATATTTGGTTTGGGCCAGTTGTAATCTTCTGCACTGGAAGTTCTTTCGACTTTTTTGGGTTGCTTCTTCCCGGTCATCCTTTGGGGGGCCGGCTCGTTGTGAACGGGGGATTTCTGCTTGGAATTCTTCACGTCGGCCGGGGTTTTCTGGGCCACCCGGGGTTTGGCTTTCTCTCGGATGGGGCTGCGCAAGGTCCTGTCTTTGGAATCGGTCAGGGACAAGCTGTTGTTCACCTTCCCTTTGTTTTGTCCCTCCACCTGGGCACTGCTCTGGGACGCAGCGCTGTTCTCCCCGTGACTGTCATGTTGGTTGTTGATGATCGTCTTGTTGTGAGGGTTGACTTTGTTTAACCATTTGTCCAGCTGCCATTTGTTAGCTGAGGGGGGTTCAGGCTGAGGATGACACATTGCAAATAGTGACAACAAACTTGATCATCATTTGTAGCCCAGCCTTCTTTTCCGAAGCAGCCACGACACACAGGCTTCCAGGTATGTGGACTTCAAATCCCAGAATTCTCATCATGTTGGCTGTGGAATCCTGGGATTTGAAGTCCACATGCCTGTTGCCAAGACTGGGAAAGACTGCATATAGACAAAACTAAAAACTAAAACAATTTAACAACTACTTCCTGGGAGAGCATTGGAAACCATTCTTCTTTTAAAGTAGGCTAAATATGCATTTGCTAAATATGTGTTTGTATTTTTGTAGTTATGACCCATTTATTTTCAGCACACAATCAATTACAATCTCAGAATATTTCCAAGCAATAATATCTCAACCTTTCCTAAGTGAAGAACTGTGCATCTCATTTAAGGTGTAAGGCCAATTAACAGAATAACAGAGTTGGACGGAACCTTGGAGATCTTCTAGTCCAACCCCCTGCTCAGGCAGGAAACCCTATGCCATTTCAGACAAATGGTTGCACAATCTCTCCTTACCCCCCCTTCTTAAAACCTCTCTTCTTAAAAATTAGGATGCCATCTTTTAAATTAAAATATTTGGGCATTTTTTATTTTCCAAGGAGAAGGGTGTAGATCATGTGAATGTGGCCACAGGAACCCTGCAAATGCTACTACAAAACTGGAATGTTTCATGTGAAAAAAGAGGAAAATTATTTAATACATGAGTAGCTGTATTTATTTTTATGATTAAGTTGTTTCATTTTGCTACATTTAGGCTCAGTTCATACACACGTTGGAGGGCAACCTGTCAAAATCTGGATATATATCTCAGGTTCTCCCCAAACCTATATATGTGTAGTTAAACAAATAATTGTGTGTGTGTGTCTGAGTGTGGATAGCCACCCCAAGCTATTCGGGAAACGGGTTGGCAAGCGACTTTAAACAGATTCCACTTTTGCTCGAAAAGCTTAGACATTTTTCATTTAAGAAGAGTTGGAATTTCCCCTCGCAAACCCAATTGTTACACAGACAGGTGAATTCTGGAGATGGACATTGTGGTGTTTTACCTCCGGAGTGCCGCTGCGTGATTCTTCATTGCATTCGCTGTCGCTGGAGCTGGTTTCACTGTCAGAATCAGATTCAGAACTACTTTCAGATTCACTGGAGCTTCCAGACCCTCCACTGGAATGTATGAGGACAGCGTTGTGTGCTGTTGGCAATGGAAGGCCACTACAAAGAAAAAAAAGGGGGGGGGGAAACGTATTTAAGCATTTATAAAGATTATTCGGGGACTCATCTCCCCATCTCGTATAGAATTATAGATTCTGCCAGTTCAACTCTCCGTCCACTGTAGGATTTACTATAACATCCTAATATATGATTCTCTGGTTTACATTTCAACATCTCCATGCTGTAAGCTACTCCGTGATAATCAATTCTTTCTATTAAACAGCTCTTCCTAATGTTTAATCCTTGAGATTTTATTCCACTAGTTCTAGTCTTCCCATCTGGAAGAGAGGTGAGAGCAAGTTCTGTAGGAGATGGCTATCCTTCAGATCTTTCAAGATGATTATTATGTCCCCTCTCAACACTCTTCTGCAAGCTAAACATATCTAGGTCACTGAATCATTCCCATGGTAGGTTGGTAGCCCTTTCTGAACTTGCCCCATATAACAAATCACAGTTCACAAGCCTTAATTATTGATTTATCTGTTGCAGCTGAGACAGAATAACAGCGCTGGAAGAGGTCTTCTACTCCAAGATGTATAACTTAAGATTTACTTAAGTTACGATGTTCATGCCTGTAGGACATCATCATAACCATCAAACTGTCAAATTCAAAGAGGCAGCTTTGGAGTGGGCAATACCCAAAGATTTACGGGGTCCCTACTTCATAAAATATATTCTATCCCACCCCATGGGATCTTCTTCTCCCATGAAAGAGCCACGGGAAAAACCCTAGGAACTAAACCCTCACTTGATTTGTTCCATAATTTTGGCATTCCACCACAACTTAAAAAGTTCTATCGAGAAAATCAAAAGGGGGGCATGTGTCTCCCCCCTAATTCGGACTTGGTTCTTCCCTTCAATTTCTGAAGTGGTTTTGTGGTTTTTTGAACTAAGCAGGACATAAGGACAAATTTATAGTAAGTTGTAAATTTATTATCATGAGTCAAACTGTGCTGGGATATAGCTTGCTAAAACAAATAAGCATTCTTTAAATAATTTACCACCAGCAACGTGCCTATCCTTTTTCCCCCCCCTTTTTATTTCATTGAGGTTTTTTTTTTTTGTTAACACATTTCTAATTTATGCCCAAACGAAGGTCATTAGGCAGCTCTAATATTTGGATGTAAACATTTTAAAAATTAATTTTAATGAATGCTATGGGTTATTCTCTTCCCAGCCTTTTCCCTAAGATATACCATAAGTGCAGAGATATAGGCATATTACGATTCTCGAGAGATGCCCTAGGGATCCTTTATCTGAAGCTAGTTTTTCACTCATGCTTTTGCCAACAAAAATAAAATTCACACAAGAAAAAAAACAAACAAACTGTATTGCTGGTCTGAAATCCCCCTTGTTTATCCATTCTTTACCCCACTGTAAGCTATAGCTTAAAGGAAAATACTTAATATTTGGATTTATTTAGCAATAAATAGAGCTTCTTGTGCTGGTCTCATCTGATTTCTGTGCAGAATTCTGCGACACCAATCAACCAGATAAATAAAAGTTTAGTCTCAGGATAACTAAGAGGTCCCATCTACTTGTACGTCCCATCCTTGCTCGTTCAGATCAGAGATCAGCATTTTCAAAATAAAATATCTATATTTTTACAAGGCTCTAGTGAGACAATACTGGACAAAGGCAGGCACAACTGCCACAAGATTTACTGGAAAAAAAGACAGCAAAGAAAAATGCAAGACCAAAATAACTGAATTAGAACCAGTATGCTTGAATGTCATTCCTGGCAGAACCCAATACAGGCTCTATTTAACTGCAAGGACTTTTTTTTTAAAAAAAAATATATAATTCAAACAACATTGAACCATTTGCTTCTGGCTTGGCTCAGAGGAATGTGTTTTTTTTCCCCCCTGTACAAAATATGAGGAGGTTTAGATCTGATTTTCATCTTGGATTGCAAAACTGCGACTTTTGCCACAATTTCCAAACCCCCCCCCCAGCCATTGCTACCAAATTGGAACATTTGCAACAGAAATATTGCCTTTAATCATTTGGCCTCAATGCATTGGCCCTGGTATATAATCACTTGCAAATGAGATTATATACATAAGGAGAAAATTGACTCAGGAAAAAAAGAAGCAAAATTAATCCAAAATTTTGCTTTAGGCTATTTTAGCCACATCTATGAAAATTTTCCACAAAGGTCAAGGACGTTGGCTGATAGAAAACTTGCTGTTTTTCACATGTATGGGACCCAGGTGGGGGATTTTAACAAAGAAGCAGAGGCTACGTTAGAAAAACCAAGACTCAACCCCTAATGTCTTCATTTATTGGATCTAAGCGAAGGAAACCTGGAAGGAACTTTCTCAAGACCTTTGGGAGTGACTATACTTAGACTAGATAATATTGATGCAGGATTAGATGTTTCCATTATCTAGCAGTGTAAAGCAGCTTTACTTGATCTTTTATGGCTAGGCTGGGTAATCCGAAGCTCCGGAGACAACTTCAGAACACAAACGCTATTTTCTGCATCTCCCAAAACTCCTTCTGAACACACTGACTGAAAATGGAAGGGCTGGTTTTCCAAGATGTGGAGTGATGAAATGCCCTTGAAGATCAGAAGGAGGGGAAAAAAAAACCCAACACCATTTAATCAAACCCACAAACCAAGCAGGTGGCCCACTAGATGCATGGATTTTTATTAGGAGACTCTGACAGCCTGCATGGCCACTTTAAGGGTCACCTAACTGAGTTGTGTGCTCTAAAGAGTGGCTGTGTATTACAAAAAAAAAAAAAAATAGGTCAACTCCTTTTTCTGCTGCTGCAACTTTGAGAAGAAAGAAAGGGGTTGAGATCAGTCAAGGAAGCAACTTGCAATAATATAGCTACTTTTCAAGGAGGACTTGAGGAATTCTAGAAAGGTTTGGTGTCCTCCATATCTCCTTCTAGATCAGCTTTTACCAATGTGGTTTCCTTCAGAGATTTATTCTGCTAACTGTTCCTTATCACTGGGTATGCTGATGGGACATGCAATCCAGAACATTTAGAGGGCAACAAATGCTTAAAAAAAATCTATTTGATTTTACTACAGAAAAAAGAAGAAGAGAGACACTGCACAGGCTATCTCTAGCAGCAAAAACATGACATTCCAATAAGAAGTCAATTTAATTCATAACAGCAAAACGTGTAATGCAAAGTGACACGGCCAATTGTAACACCAGTCAAGAAAAAGAGAAAGAAAAAAGCTTGTAAGGAAGAGATAAAACTCAATTTCCAAACACTGAAAGGTTTATTATTTGGTGCTTTTAAGATCTAATGATAGCACTAAACTCTAGAAGTAAATGTAGATAGCAAGAGGCATTCTAGCTAATTTAGCCATCTCTCTGAGATAGTATCAGTCTGAGAGACAGAAAGGAACCGTAAAACGTATTTCCCAATTCGTCTTGGCCTTTTGCAACGATGAATGTTATCTTTCCAATTTCACTGAACATATGAGATGGGAAGGCATACGGCTTGTATATTAGTCCATAAATGTCTATGGACATTCTCAGTCATCCAGATTTTGGTTGTCCCAAACTGGACTTTCTTGTTTTTCTTTGAAGATGTTTTGCTTCTCATCCAAGAGGCTTCTTCAGCTCTGACTGGATGGTGGGGGTCAACTGATCTTCCAAAGCACCAGAGGGCAACGGATGGAAACTAATCAAGGAGAGAAGTAACCTAGAATTAAGAAGAAACTTCCTAACAGTGAGGACAATTAACCAGTGGAAGTTGCCTTCAGAAGTTGTGGGTGCTTCATCACTGGAGGTTTTTAAGAAGAGACTGGACGACCACTTGTCTGAGATGGTATAGGGTCTCCTGCTTGAGCAGGGGATTGGACTAGAAGACCTCCCAGGTCCCTTCCAGCTCTATTCTGATTTAAATAGTTGTTGCTGGTGGTCATGGTTACCTAACTGAACAGAATTCGACAGGAGATATCATTGTGGAACTTCAGTAAGTCAAGAGTTGAGGGATTGACCTAATTTCTGGATCAGAGTCATAAAGTGGCAAGACAGGAAGTTTCAACTCTTTGTGCAGCAAATTGCGTATCTACTTATACATCAGATGACCAAGGTGTGCCCTCCAAGAAGCCGAATCTTGCAATTTTATACCATTACTCGTTGTTGGCCCTGGGTTTAGGTCTTTTATCCAAAATGGAGGGCACATGATGTCACAGGTATGATGATACCATGGTACATAAGACATTAATCATGGAGATCATGGATGTCAAACTGCTGGCCTGTGGGCTGGTTGCATCATGCGGAGGCCGCACTAATCCCAGCTCCAGCAATGCAAAAAAAAGTTGTGATACATCACGTGACGTGGCGAGTTTCACACCCGTGATGTAGATTATATAATTCATGTCAATTGTACCACGATGCAGAAAACATCATGTGGGCTTTTGGCGTCTGAATTTAGGGTCTGCACTGAATTGTCCAGCCTCTTTGACACGAACTGTGTCTTGTAGCTGATTGTAGTCAACATTTCACAAATACTGTACAAAGAACTTTTTTTTTAAAGGTCTCTGTAATTTGAGGAAATAAGTGATCTTCTGATGTGTCTAGCTTTTATGTTGTCTCTGTGGACTTCCTTAAGTTAGAGATTCATTTTCCAAGATCGTCTTAAATGATTACCGGAGCCACAGCTTATTTTTTCTGCACCATAAATGACCAACAAATGGATAATTTACGCATTTCTTCTTTCTCCCAGTTCACTGCTGAGATGGTTATTGCATTATTTTCATCACATCATTTACTCTTAATATTTTAATAAACTGCTTTAAAGATGAAATGGAGTTGTTACAGATATCATGTGCAGGACTGACAATTATTAATCTCCAGAACGAGCGGACTCCTCTCCTTGAATTGTAAATACGTTCAGTAATCAAAATGTCACTGGCACTATCCACCTGAGAAAGGGCATTTCATAGCTTTATTGAGTAAAAAGCAGATAATTAATCAGATTATACAAGTATTGGATGAAAAATTATGTGCGTATCAGCAAAGCCTAGATATGAATCTCGTTTTTGAGATACTGCACGATCAACCTAATTTACAAAGGAATAACCAAAACTAAAATGAAAAGGAACATCTTTTGAACTGTGGAATCCTGTGCTCTCTAGGATTGGTGGTTTTCTTTCAGACATTTCATTACCCAACTAGGTAACATCATCAGCACTAGTGGTGATGTTACCTAGTTTGGTGATGGAACATCTGCAAGAAAACCACCAAGCTCAGAGAGCACTAAGGACTCCACAAAGGTTTTTTCCATCATGATTAAGTGGTTAGTATGGAGACACTGAACATCTCTACCACCTCAACTGGAGCCCTTAAAGAGCCATGTCCCACCTCTTCCATCTTAGGGATAATATTCTGAAATCTCAAATTCTGGAAGAAGACCTAACTAACTTTTTTTTTTTTGCAAATATAAAATCAAAAACCATTTGGATAGGTTGGGTGAGTGGAGCCGAGTATCTGTAGATAATCTAATTAGAATGGAAATATAGAATGGTTAAAAATAGTTATTCCCCCCCCTTCCTGGCTACCTCTTCAAAGACAAAAACAAGCAGCCAAACGAGAATTTATATTTTCTCTCTCTCCTACTTCGTTAGTTCCTGGGTATTTTTTATTTCCATTTTTATAGTCATTTTTGCATAATGGTGTAACCTGCTGTCCAAAACTCTTTGGAAAAAAGCACAGAGCATGTGGGCCCATCTGAACCCTCTCTGTAACTCATTTACATTGAGGCAAAGTGCCTGGAAGGAGGAAAAAATGGAAGACTTGCTCTCAAGGATAATTACTTGTTCCAACAGCTTGAATAATTATCCAGGCTGTAGAAGATTAAAGCAGAAATGTTCAGTAAATTGCCACATTATAGTTAGGTTGACAAATGACAAACAATCTCCAGGCAATATCCTTCACCAACGTGTGGTCTTCTTCTCTGGTTCAGATTCTAATAGCTTTCCATTGAGTCCAAGCCACACAATGAAAGACAAATTGTGACTTGCAAGAAGACCCTCCAAGAAAACGCCACAATTTGTCTTTGTCTACCTTGCTATAACACATCTTTGTTCCAATGGAAGCCACATGCAGTTCAGTTAAGACTTTCTCCTAAGCAACTTGATGCTCCTGATTTATTTAGAAATAAATCTTACTGAAATTTGTAGACAATGGGGTTAAGGATTGGATGGCAGAGTTTTTCTCCTGTGTGCAATTTTTTGGGGGTGAGCCTAACTGAAAGAGGATTTAATAGGAGAAATTACAAAGACAGTCCTGGTGCTGATGACATTCCCTAGTTGGATAATGAAAGGTCTGCAAGAAAACTACTAAGCTCAAAGAGCACCTAGGACTCCACAGTTGTCCTCCTCCTCCTCCTCCTCCTCCTCCTCCTCCTCCTCCCCCCACAAACTCCCATCTAGCACTGAAGGAAAATCTAAATTCAAGAACACGACACCTTAAAAATAAATATCGCAATATAAGAGGAGCAAATGTTAGGCTGAAGCTGCTGCCTCAACAGACAGCAAATCCATGGCCTAAATTCTTTGCAAACATTTGGTCAACTTTCTTAAAAAAATCGATCTTGCCTTCTCTAACGAGGCTGCGATGGTTGCATTGGCAGCCCTTGAATGGCAAACTTCCGCCGGTTAATTTGTTTACAACATTTTTTTTATTATTTATTGACAATGACCTCCATCCCACGTTCCAGTATATTCATTGTGTCTTATTAATTTGTTGGTCCGGTGATTTTTATAAGCTCTAATTCAGCACAGGGCTCCCTCCAGCCCTGTATTTTACACTGATACGCGAAATGGAATGGAAGGGTGATACAATTATGGTTTTGTGATATGCAAAGAAGAATGGCAAAGGCATGAAACGGCACAGCCCAACAATTCCAGTGCGTCAAGCAGTGTGAAAATGTGGGGGGAAAAAAAAGATAAAGAATCTCTAACGACAACAAAGATTAGCCATTTGCTCTCTAACCTTATTTACAGAAGCAATCAGAGGTATTCAGGTTGAGTTAATGGCCCTATCTCCAATTAATTCAATTGTCTACACACAACATTGATGCGGTAGCTATATCAGAGACAACGGCAGAGGGAACACAGAAGACTCCATTAAAAGTGACAGTAATATTGCATTTATTACCAGGCACACCTTCCTCCCCAATATCATAAATTTGGGGTCTTCAATTACAGCCCGTGCTTTAACAGAAATTCAATTAGTGAAGTAAAGGCATTGAAGCCCTGACTGGGGAGAAGTTGGGGTGGGAGGGAGAGGGAACTGGCCCTGCTCAAAATCTTCCTATTTAAAATGTGGTTGCTCCGATCTCAGCAGTTGGCTCCTGGTGCAACGTCTTGCTTTTTGGCTCCAGGCCAAACCGGCCCCTCCTTGCCTTCCTCCTTTGATGCCCGATTTTCTAAACAAAATCCGAAGCTCTGGAATCCTTGGGACTGCAGCGGAATTGCACGAAGCCGGTGGAAAAATCTTTTTCCTCTCTGGCTCCCTTTTTTTGCATCCTCTTTATCCTTCCTCCAATGTTCTGCCAACGTGTTCAGATCGGAGTAGTTAATTGAGGTAAGCACAGGTGTTGTTCATTACCAGCCATTGTGTGCCATCTGAAGTCTGGGAGTGCCAGAATTCAGATGGTTTCAAGCTCCTGATGAATAACAAGCGTGATTTGGAGATTGTTTGCACAAGCCTGGACGGACGTATCTCATCTGGTGCTCTAAAACACCTGCTTACCCCTGTGGAAGCAAAACACATTTGCTGATCTTGTGACTGACTATCCCTGCTCTCCCCTCTCTCCCCTTCACAATTTTGCAAGATGCTACAGATGATGGAACCACTCACCAAAAAGAGAAGCATGGGACACCCCAATTATTCCATGGAATACATGGATAAAAAGCATGAAAGCTTTTATTACGGTTTGTCAGCCAGTCAGCCAGGATTTGGCTTTTTAGTCCACCTATCAAGTCCTTCCCAAGACCTGGGAGAGGCAGATGTCCCATGTTTGATGGTCTTGAAAGTATTGTCACAGGATGTAAGCTGTTCCGAGCAAGGCTGCCTTTTGCAATTGACCAAAGGTGACGTTGTCAATGCCGATGGTCTTCAAGTGGCCCTCCAGTTGTTTGGGGATTGCACCTAAGGTCAGATGGAACATTATGCATCCAAACTCACAGGAATGTCATCTTCAGAGACCCCAGAGTTAGCTCTTTTCTGTTGTTGTATCTCTTGGGCTCGAGACAACATTCTCCATGACACTGGAGTCAGAGGTGTAAAGACGTTTTACTAATTCTGGACCGAAAACCCTCCTCTGTCCGTATCTTAACCGGAACACTACCCACTTGGAAATATACACTCATAATAAGGAGTCCCCACCCTTTAACATACCAATAACGATATTATCTATAATAACATTACCCTGGTAATGTCTCCTCTCCTGTACTATACCAAATTGTATTGATCCGATTGTAAAAAAGCTAGATGCTCAGAGCCAGCGGCGATTGCAGTGGTGTATAAGGGGCATCTAAATGAACAACTTTAATTTAACTCTAGATTTTCCCCTTGGTTTCCATTCAGACACTTCTGGGAAGCCCAGAAATAGAAACAGAGAGTTGGTAAGGACTGTTGTGCTATCAAGTCCAATCTCCTGCTCAGCGCAAGGATCCAAATTAAAGCATCCTGACTGATGGCTGATAAACTCAAACTCACCTCCTCTTTAGAAAGGTTATTTTGAAAGAAGAAAGTAATCAGAATTTGCTTTCCAGTATCTCAGATCCACTGTTTGATAGTCTGCCAGACAGAACTGATCTTTTCTATGAGGCCCTTTTGACTATCTGAACAACACTTCAAGGTCTTCTTGCAGTCTTTCTCTTTTCTGAAAGTCACTTTCACCATGTTTGTGTAGGGCTGAACTTCTAATTCCCTGATCACCTTTTAAGTAAAGCGGAAGACGACATTGTGCCCTGTCTCCAATTGTGCACATTCCAGGTCATCCTGACTTTCAACCCAAAGAGACATAATTTAACGATTGTTCACTTGCTAGTAAAGAAGACATCCTTCCTCTCTGAACCAGTCCTCTTTTCATGCTGCTTTAGATTTATTTGCTCCGTGTGAAATAATGATGAATGGATCCAATAGAATAGAATAGAATAGAATAGAATAGAATAGAATAGAGCTGGAAGGGATCTTGGAGGTCTTCTAGTCCAGCCCCCTGCCCAAGCAGGAGAACCTATACCATTTCAGACAAATGGTTGTCCAGTGTCTTCTTAAAAACGTCCAGTGTTAGAGCATTCACAAATTCTGGAGGCAAGCTGTTCCACTGGTTAATTGTTCTCACTGTCAGTAAATTTCTCCTTAGTTTTAGGTTGCTTCTCTCCTTGATTAGTTTCCATTTGTTGTTTCCTGTTCTGCCTTCTGGTGCTTTGGAGAACAGGTTGACCCCCTCTTCTCTGTGGCAACTCCTGAGATATTGGAAGACTGATACCCAATTCCAGCAACCATTCTTTGTATGTTTATATTTGTGGCTCCGGGTTGAACTGTGATGTCCTTGGTGCTCTCTGAGCTTGGTGGTTCTCTTGCAGACATTTCATGACATAATTAGGCAACACAATCAGGGCTAGAAATGAGTGGGGTTTGTGGGGAGGAAGAGGAAGAGGAGGAGGAGGAGGAGGAGGAGAACTGTGAGGTCCTTGGTGCTCTCTGAACTTGGCAGTTTTTCTGTAGACCAGTGGTTCTCAACCTGTGGGTCGGGACCCCATTTGGGGTCGATCGACCATTTCACGGGGGTCGCCAAGCAAGGCTGTCCGCCATTTTTTTTGTCCGCCACTTTTTTGTCTGCCATTTTTCCCCCTTTTCTGGCAGGTGCCTTACCTTCCTTGAGCTGGGCCAGCTGGTGGTCGGCCTGCTCCGTCTCTGCCGCTTGCCAGCTACGCCTCGGCCGGTGCAGGGGGTGGAACCACGCATGCGCGGCGCTCCTGGGCAGGGAAAGTCCTCGACTTACGACCAGTTGGGTAGTCCTTGACTTACGACCGGTTTAGTCCTCAACTTACAACCGGTTTAGTCCTCGACTTATGACCGGTTTAGTCCTCGACTTACGACCGGTTGGGGTCGCGGCATTAAAAAGGTTGAGAACCACTGCTGTAGACCTTCCATTACCCAACAAGGTAACATCATCAGTGCTGGAAGTGAGTGGTCTTGTTCAGATGCCAACAGCTTGCCCTTTCAATGTTGGTGGGAGTGCTATTTTCTTCTTGATACTTCCTTGATTAGACTGTTGTCTACTGTTTCATTATTTGTCTGAGTTGGTAGTTCCTTGATTGGAGAAATGTTTGCTGCTTGATTGTTGGTTTGGTATTAATCCCGATGTTCATCTCTGCTTATCTGGGTCTTGGTTGTTGGTGAAGAGACCCATTAATGTTGGGCAGAGGCACACAAAGGAAGCATTCAGGAGTAAGCATCAATGAACTTTGTGCTAGCCCATTTCAGAGGCCTTGGAAGTCTAAACAGCTTTTCATGACTGTAGTTTCAGAGCCTCCTCATTTAAGTGGAAAGATCGTAATGGAGACATCTACTGAACAATAGAAGACTTAATTATTCACAGCATTTCCATGTCATGGAGAAGCTTCAAAGTTACCCGACATGACATCTACTAATACCAAGAGAAAGGGAATTGACCAGAGTTAAACTCCACTTTGCTATCTTCTAAATCAGAATAACATGGTTCGATGGGACTCGGAGGAAGAAATGATAGACTTTTCCTTCCCTCACATCGTTTTACAATCAGAGAAAGGTAAAACACCGCCAGAATATAAATAAATTGAAAAGATTCATAGACAATATTCTACTGTGGGCCTCATTTGCACTTTAAAACAGATGCCCCACAGACCTTATGTACTTTTAAGATGCCTCTGAAAGAGACATGAAAAAGTCTTCCAGTCAAAAATGTACATATTTAATGGAATTAGATCTCTAGGCTAGAAAAATGTCAGAAGAAAAGGAGAAATATTAAAGGCAAGGCAAGGCACACCTTTCTACTGCTTTCTTGCTTTGATAAATATCTTGTGGGATGTCACTTCTTAGAAAGTCATGATTTAATGAAGCAAAAAAAACCCCAACAACCTGAAAATAAAAAAAAAACCTACTACACATTTGGCAGTATGTAATGTGGCCAGAGAAACTCTGAAGTGAGCGGCTGATGTCATATTTGGCAATTCTCTATAAGAAGCGAAAGA